ATATATATATATATATATATATATATATATATATATTCATAGGAAATAAAATAGTATATATGTAATTTTTAAATCTCTAAAATTAATTACATGATTTGAAAGACCAGAAAGCTGAAATTCAACTAAAGCATTTGCAAATCGACTGAAGGTTCAAAATGCAATCATCAAAATAAAACCTAAACCCCTAAGAAATTCACAAACTTGTGTCACTATAGCATAATAATACCCATCACTGAGCATAATGAAAAAAAAAAAAAAAAGAGAGTCTACCAAGATCAGGCTTCAGGATTCACAACTTGCCCAACAAAGAGCACAACACCACTGATCTCCTCCCTTATTACAAAGAGGAAAGGATGATCAGCTACAAAGTCGAACACGTCCACGGGCGGCATGGCCATCATACATCCATACATGGCTACATAAGTAACTGCTGCAGCCTCCGTGCCCTGTTCGTCCACCTCTACGTATGCCTTATGCATAAAGAGCGAGATTCGGGGTGCAGTATTGGGGTGAGAGTAAACTATCTCGGTCAAACCATCTTGAAAAGGGAGAACCAATCCTTGCTTTTTAAAAAACTGGGAAGCCTCAAAATCGGAGCTTATTTTAAACTTGGGGAGACGGAAATTCCCCATTTTCACTCTTCGACGTGGCGTGTGGTGCTCTACGAACCCAGAAATCGAGCCAAATTTCTCGACGAGCGCCTGTAAGCCATCCCTGGCATTGGGAAGAAAGAAGTACATGGAGAATGCCCGCGTGTCCTGGCCCGTTTGGTACGGTAGCTTTAGGACCTTAAAATCGTCAAAGGCGAGCGCGAGTTGGTTCTTGGAGCTGGTCATGAAGGGGACACGGACCGATCTTCCGTTCAAGAGGAAGAAGTCGTGGACTTGGGTTAGAGACGGGTCGAATTTTGAAGCCCAGAATCCTTTAAAGTAGAGTGCATTTGCAAGGATGAGCATAGTCATACTATCGACTGAGCCGCGTGAGAGCAAATTTTTTATCACACCATTCGTTTTCTCCTCGGCCCAAGAATTCACTGCTTCTCTTACCGCATCAGACTGAAGAGTTTCAGAGAAAATCAAATTAATGAAAGAGTTGGTACATAAATTAGAGTTGACAATTGCTGGCACATAGACACGGTGAGCACAACACAAGACGGCACGGCACTACCAGAAACAACACTACAGTGACACATGATTGCGGCAAGATTTGTCAAACTAAACATAGAATATGATGAAATCAACTGTACTTTCATTAATTGCAAATCCTAAATCCAATTGGAGCGAAGTTACGAAACCTAACCTGATTGCGAAAATCCACATGATCTACTGCGCTCCGATAAGCATTCTCGATGGTATCTTTGAAAGACGGCTTCAGGGCAAGGCTGCGTTCGACCCAAACCCCGTTGGCGATGGACAGAAGAGGGCCACCGAACGGCCCGCCATCGGCTAGCACCCAGGTGGCCACCTGGGACGATAGGGAATTGAGCTCCTCGATCGAATCGAACTTGAGGTAGCGCAGGAGCTGGTCGCGTGCAGGGCGGCCCGACCCGACCGCTACCATGGCCAGCATGACGTGAATTGAGAGGGGCGAGAATACGAAGTTGTTGTCCTTGACGTGGGTGGAGATGATTTGCTTCGTGAGCCACGAGGAGAAGTCGGTTTGGGCGGCGATTGACTGCCTGATGTCCATTATTGGCGTGATGCTGTTGAAGATCGTGGATGATTCGACTTGTGGTAACCTGCGCTGTTAAACACACGAGATTTATAGGCGAGCGTTTTCTAGGTTTCTTATTGATCAAGTTTTCCACCGGTTTTGGTATTAATACGTGAGTTTTAAAGAAAGTAAAATACCGAAATTGCAACAATGGTCCTAGAAAATCACAAATTAGCAAAACAAACTAATAAATGAGAAAATTACAAAGTCCCCTGTTTCACGCACGGAAAGTTGCGTGCGCGTTTTGGGTCGCGAGGCTCTTTGCGGAGTGAAGCTGGCGCCTCCGCGAAGGTGCGACGACTGCGCGCCTGTTCGTGCGGCTGCTCGGGAGCCCGATTCGCATCATCCCGGTTGTCTTCTGTTGCAAAGTATAAACTTCAAAATTTGGTTGCGGATTTCTTGCACGTTTGCCTCACCAGAGCTAGCCTTCTCTGGGAAAATTTAAATATGACCAAGGATTTTAAAGAAAAAAAGAAGAAAAGAAGATTATGACTCTATTAGTGGTTAGTGGCTGCAAGAGTTTAAAGGGGTTGCAATTCGACTTATTTTTTGGATGTTGACTTTCGAGAGGCTGACCACTAAGGAGGGTTATTATTATTATTATTATTATTAAATGATCAACTCTTAATTTCGTTGGTTGACTGTGTTGAGTTGGGTACACTCACAACACGTAGACACTAACGTAATTACTTTATAGCTGTCACAACAACAACAACACCACTGGAGAATCCCTCATTGCTGTCACAAAAGCCGACGGAGAAAGAAAAAGGACCGAAGATGTCGGACGGGTCTGCTGTACCGCAGGAGGAGGAGAAGGAACCAAAGTAATCTTGATCCCCCCAAAAAGAAAAGAATACGTGTTCTGGCGCCCGTCGTGAGTGGCAGCTCGATCATATTGCCAAGGACGGCCCAACAATAAGTGACAAGCATCCATCGGGACCACATCACACCACACTTGATCCCGGTATGTCGACCCAATGGAAAATAAAACGAGAGCCCGACGATCAACAGTGACCGCCCGTTCTCACTGAATCCACGCCAAAGTATACGGCTGAGGGTGAGGCTCACAAGAAAGTTGTAACTTATCAACGGCTTCCTGCGAGATAACATTTTCACAAGCACCAGAATCAATAATAAAACGACAAATCTTATTACCCATCGTGCATGTCGACTCAAAGAGGTGGTTCCGCTCGCCGGTCACTTCACTCGAAGCCTTTGGTGTCAAACACGTGCGCCGGAGGACTAAGGCTGTCCCGACATCTCCGCTAACAAATTGTTCAATCTCGCCCCCCTCGGTATCATAAACCGGCTGGCCATCATAACCCTCCACCACGTCTAAGTCCCCGCCGTCTTCCGTGAAAAGAGCACGCGAACTAGTACCCTTGGGACACGCCGACTGTCGGTGTCCCATCTCGCCACAACCAAAACAACGAAGGCCCGCCACCGTACGAGCTGCCGCCGCCGAGAATTGCGGACCGTCACCACCTCCGGTCCGCTGAAATTGACCGCCAGGCCCCGTACCACGCGCCGTAGCAGCCCCCGGTCCCAAGCCGGGAGTCGCCGATACCGCAGGCCGCGGCTGGAATGGCGCACCTCCCGAGGTGCCACCTTGCCGCGAGAACGACCCAAAATTGGTACCCGATTTTTGAGCCAGCTGAATCTCTGCGAGAACAGCCCTTTGGTGAGCATCCGAAACAGACGCCGGGCGAAAGAGGTTCAACGTATCCCGCAATGAACCCGCCAACATAACGGGACACCAACTGATTTTTGGTCTCCCTTAACTCAACACGAGTAAGGAGACGATAAAACTCGGCCGTGTACTCATCCACAGAACGAGAGCCTTGTCTTAAATTCTGCAATTGTTGGTACACGATGGAATCGTAATTGAAAGGTACGAATTCACGCTCTACATACTTCTGAAATTTCATCCACGAGGATAACTCTGGCTTCCCCTGTCGATGCCGCATGCTCGTGAGTTGCATCCACCAAGTCGCAGCCCGGCCTCGAAAACGAGTGGCGACCAAAGCAACACGCCTCTCCTCGGGCACTCCCTTGAATCGAAGAACGGCCTCCACGGCCTCCCACCATTCAACAAACTCCAACCTATCAACCCCTCCAGTAAACTCCGGTATATCGATTCGAAACCCCTGCTCCCAACGTGACTCATCGCCCCCTTCTATCGGACGCCTGCCGTCACGCCGGTGATGTCCAAATCGATCAACCCCGTCAAATTCCCCAAAAGCTGGCCGCCGCTGATAGTCTCCCTCACGACCGCCCCATCCACGACGGTGCATCCCTTCATCCTCGACCTCTGAATCAGTACCCTCGCGTGAAATCGCGCGTCGCTGGTGTTCGAAACGGCCATCGCGAAAATCCCCAAGCCTGCCATCGTGGTCATCACCACTATCAACCTCATCGAACCCGTCCCTACCATAAACCCTAGGTTCACGTCGCCGATCGTCCATAGCAGGCCTGCGAGTATGAGCAGTCACGAACGGGTTCTCCCCGCTCCACGTCTCCTCGTCCTCGTCACCGGACAGAGGTGGAGTTGGCCGCCGGCGGGCGCCCCGCCAAACCCACGACCTCCTCTACCCCCGCGAAACCCTCCGCGTCCGCCCCGGTCGGCGTCGCGGCTCGTACGAACCTCTGTCATCAGGGTACGCATCGCCTGTCGCAAGTCCTCGATTCCGGTGTTGATGTCGGTGAAACGTTCATCCATCCCTTGAAATTGATCTTCCATTCTCTGGAATCGTTCTTCAACGATGTTGTCGTTTCTCTTAGGCGGCATCGTGGATCAATGCTGGTCTCTGGATACCAATTGATGTAGAGCTTAGTACAATTAGGGAAGAAGATGAGATACTCTCTCAAAGGAACACACAAATTTTTATTTCAATCGATCAAAAACCCATCTTTCTCATCGTACCCATAACATATAAATAACAAAGAGAAATAAATATTTCTAATCTTGCCCCACAGCTGCAAGATAATTATTTTCCTACCCAAAGCACTAATTAACTAAAGGAAATAAAATAAAAGAGTTCGAATAATAATAAAAAAATGAAACCGACTAAACCCGGAGACGGACATATTTATTCAAAACGCAATAGCGGTCTCGTCTTCATCACAAAGTAATTATACAAACACAATATAGACCAAAATAAATACTTCACTTATCAAGACCAAAAATACACACTAAATTATTTTATTATAATCTTTCTCACTCTCAAATACACTCAATATTATTATAATACACTAACACTCTTACAATTCACTCATTGCACACACGCCACTAACAACTCACTCATTTGTTTTCTTTTATTTGATCACACACTCAGCACACATTTATTATTTCTTACACACACAAAATGGTACAACACACACATATTTATAGGAAAACATGTGGGTTAGGTAAGCTAAGTCGGTGGCTTAGGAAATATCTAGATTAATTACTTTAATGTTTCTTAGATTATGTGACAAAATTAATTAATATGTAAATGTTTTCTTCACTCATATGGAATCTTCACAAAGTCGGTGGTGATATTTTACACTCCCCCTCAACACCGACTTATGGTCCTTTCGTTGTCTTCAGCCACCTTACGTCAAGAAACGGATCTTCACATAAGTTAGAGCCTGTAAATATTTATCTCGTGTGTTTTCGGCTCGGTACTCGTACTCTCGCAGATCTATGGGCTTGTGAGTTCTTGACACTTGGCTGATCTTCTACTCTTATCCAATGCTTGTTGACTTGCCCGTAACTTGTTAGCTCGTCTTCAACTCTATCTTCCTTAGTTGATTCTTTCTCACCACTGTTGGAGATGGGCAACACTAAGTTGTCTACTGTAACTGTACGCTCTTCACTATACTCGACCAGATTTGATAACTCTTTCATGTCTTTTGTTTCGTTGCTTGAGCTTCTAGAGTTATCTATCCACTCATCATCTGAGTCAAGCTCAGCGACCGTTACCGTTAAAGCCAAATCAACTTCTTCACCAATTTCTTCTTCTTCAATTACAGCTGATAGTGCTTCACGATCCCATTCATCTTCACTTTTGTGTGCCTCATCCGACGTGACTGCATTTCCTTCCGCTTGCTTCTTCTTCGACCAACAATTCCTCGCTATGTGACCTTTCTTTCCACAGTTATAACATTTCCCTTCAAATCTTCTACTTTCTCGATGTTGATCGCTCAAATTTTCTTTCTTTTGTGCTCCCGCTAAATGAGCACTCCTTTCGTCTTCATCTTCGTCGTTGTCATCTCTTTTCCTCCAATGACACAACAACTCGCACCTCAGCCAAGAAGCTTGACACAACAACTCGCACCTCAACCAACACCAGACTGAACTCGCCTGGCTCTGATACCACTTGTTGAGTTGGGTACACTCACAACACGTGGACACTAACATAATTACTTTATTATATTAACAAAGTAATTACACAAACACAATATAGACTAAAATAAATACTTCACTTATCAAGACAAAAAATACACACTAATTATTTTATTATAATTTTCTCACTCTCAAATACACTCAATATTATTATAATACACTAACACTCTTACAATTCACTCACTGCACACACGCCACTAAAAACTCACTCATTTGTTTTCTTTTATTTGATCACACATTCAGCACACATTTATTATTTCTTGCACACACAAAATGGTACAACACACACATATTTATAGGCAAACATGTGGGTTAGGTAAGCTAAGTCGGTGGCTTAGGAAATATCTAGATTAATTATTTTAATGTTTCTTAGATTATGTGACAAGATTAATTAATATGTAAATGTTTTCTTCACTCATTTGGAATCTTCACAAAGTCGGTGGTGATATTTCACATTCCCCCTCAACACCGACTTATGGTCCTTTCATTGTCCTCGGCCACCTTACGTCAAGAAACGGATCTTCACATAAGTTAGAGCCTGTAAATATTTTTCTCGTGTGTTTTAGGCTCGGTACTCGTACTCTCGCTGATCTATGGGCTTGTGAGTTCTTGACACTTAGCTGATCTTCTACTCTTATCCAATGCTTGTTGACTTGCCAGTGACTTGTTAGCTCGTCTTCAACTCTATCTTCCTTAGTTGATTCTTTCTCACCACTATTGGAGATGGGCAGCACTAAGTTGTCTACTGTAACTGTACGCTCTTCACTGTACTCGACCAGATTTGATAACTCTTTCATGTCTTTTGTTTCGTTGCTTGAGCTTCTAGAGTTATCTATCCACTCATCATCTGAGTCAAGCTCAGCGACCGTTACTGTTAAAGCCAAATCGACTTCTTCACCAATTTCTTCTTCTTCAATTACAGCTGATAGTGCTTCAAGATCTCATTCATCTTCACTTTTGTGTGCCTCATCCGACGTGACTGCATTTCCTTCCGCTGGCTTCTTCTTCGACCAACAATTCCTCGCTATGTAGCCTTTCTTTCCACAGTTATAACATTTCCCTTCAAATCTTTTACTTTCTCGAGGTTGATCGCTCAAATTTTCTTTCTTTTGTGCTCCCCCTAAATGAGCACTCCTCTTGTCTTCATCTTCGTTGTTGTCATCTCTTTTCCTCCAATGACAATTTTTATTGTGTCGACCTCTGATATTCTTTACGAAACGTAATTCTTCGTCATTCTTGGATGAGACTTGGAACATTTGCTTAGCTAACGCTTCTTGGTCAGCTAGCAAATTTTCCAACTCTACAAGAGAAGGTTGGGTCGGCCAACCTTGCGCAGCAGCAATAAAACTTCTATATTCTTGCCTCAATCCATGAATGATTATTCTCCTAATCTGAGAATCCGACATACCAGCAGAAGAATCTAAAGTAGAGATTTCACGACAAAGAGACTTTACCTTAGCAAAATATTGGTTTATCGTCATGTCTCGTTGCGTGATTGATAGAAGCTCTTTCTCCAGAAGTTGCAACCTCGCGTCGTTCCTCTTCGAGAATAACCCCGCGAATGTGTCCCATGCGTCCTTCAGTGTCTTCGCATCTCTAATGTGCTCCAGCATCTCCTCCTCGATCGTGGTCTTGATAGCGAACATGGCCTTGCCAGCTTTAACCTTCTATTTTTTTAAAGATGCGAAGTCCTCCGGTGGTGCAACCTCACTACCACTCACAATCTCCCACAAATCTTGGCCTTGCAGATACGACTCCATGTATGTCGACCAAGTGTTGTAATTTTGACTGTTAAGCTTCTTGATACCTCCGATCACTTGAAGGTCTGCCATCGTGACTCCACTCAATCAACTCGCCACACACTCTGCAGTACTAAACTGCACACGAACTTTGCTTCCGATTGGAAGATGCTGAGTACGACGTTGCAGTACGAAACTGCAAAACTACACCCAAGAAGCTTGACACAACAACTCGCACCTCAACTAACGCCAGACTTAACTCGCCTGGCTCTGATACCACTTGTTGAGTTGGGTACACTCACAACACGTGGACACTAACGTAATTACTTTATTATATTAACAATGTAATTACACAAACACAATATAGACCAAAATAAATACTTCACTTACCAAGACAAAAAATACACACTAATTATTTTATTATAATCTTTCTCACTCTCAAATACACTCAATATTATTATAATACACTAACACTCTTACAATTCACTCATTGCACACACGCCACTAACAACTCACTCATTTGTTTTCTTTTATTTGATCACACACTCAGCACACATTTATTATTTCTTGCACACACAAAATGGTACAACACACACATATTTACAGGCAAACATGTAGGTTAGGTAAGCTAAGTCGGTGGCTTAGGAAATATCTAGATTAATTATTTTAATATTTCTTAGATTATGTGACAAAATTAATTAATATTTAAATATTTTCTTCACTCATCTGAATCTTCACAAAGTCGGTGATGATATTTTACAGACTGTGCATGGAGGAGAATTGAATTGAGGAATTATTTGCGAAGAATTCATTGTGGCCGTGTGGATCACAATCCATTGGAAGGAGTTTGGTTTATTTATTTGCTTTATTTTTTTTTTTTTTTTAAAAAGACTATGAATTTTTATTTTTTCTATTTTTTTTTTTATTTTTTATTTTTTATTTTCTTTATCATTTAGCTATGTGCAGCTATGCATTTATTTCGGTTCTAGAAACGTTGAACCATCGATGACTATGGTTTGGTTAATGCAATTTATCGCGTTTTACTTGTCGTACAAAATTGTTTGTGTTGTTCTAGTTACTTGTCGTAATGTGTATTTCTTTAATTTGGTTTGATCACCTAAGTTAAGAATTGCATGCTAATTAATTGCTGGAGTTAAGGCTTCGATCCATAATTGTCGTAGTTCTTAATTCATTTGTAACAACTAATAGTCGCGCATTGTTAGGGATAGCACAATGTAAGCTACATGAACCGTGCTTTATGTTTGTGGCTTACATCGGTCTATTTTTCTAGATTTTAATGTAACTAGTTAACTAAATTACGAGATCTTATTCCGAGTTGTTCGCTAGCTAGATTTAATTGAAGAATCTAATTCGATTAAGTAAAATTAAGGAAAAATTCGGGTGACATAGCTTATTGCTATCTAGGAAGACGAGTGAGATTCGATAAGTGCATTAATTGGACTAGTTAATCGAGGGTGTAAATCGACATGGGACCGATTTCATTCTCATATTTGTTAGATTATTTGTTTATTTTCGGATTCATCTTCCTTTGTGTCTAAATCATTCATTTCTTGTTTTAGTTTAATTTCTTGTTTTCTCTCATAGTTTCATTTTAAATCAGACCCCTCATTTTACTTTAATCTAATTAATACAAAATAATCACGGTATATACCACATTCGTGGGATCTAACCTTGCTCGCCACCACTACTGGTTAATAGGGGTTAGTCGAGGAAAAATTTATAAATTTAAATTTGCCGCGTTGTAATGCACCGTCAATACATTAATTATCTATGTTTTTTTATGTATATTTATATAAAATAAAATAGTATATATAATTTTTAAATTTCTAATATTAAATACATGATTTCAAAAACCCGAAAGCTGAAATTCAACTACAGCATTTGCATTCTACGATGGGGTGGTGGTGGGGAATGACAAACATCAATTAAAATATGCACCTTATATTGGCCCTATTTGTGAGTACTTGTCCTTGTTTTTTTTTTTTTTTTTCGAAACGATAGACGACATATTCCACTCAAAAATAAAGTAATTTACAAATCGACAGGCTAACTAGCCCGAATAAGGGATCCACAAAGGATAAAACAATACACCCAATGGTGAACAAAAATAGCAAAAGAAACCAAAATGATGCTCAAACATTGGCAGGCTCCATGAGGCTGAGACCAAAAGTTTGAGTACTTGTCCTTGTTAAAAGTTCGGTTTTGAGTGTCCTTGTTAAAAGTTCGGTTTTTTAATGTCAGAAAAGTACCAAAAGAGTGAACATGTAGGATGTCTAGGGAAGATATTGGAAACTTAAGTGTGTTTAGTGTTATTTAATTGCTCAAAAATTGCTCTTGTAGCTGCTGTTTTTGTCGGGCCTGAAGCGACTGCTTCCGGGCTTTGTTATTGCTGTTCGGGCCTTGCTAGGGTGCTTCCTGGGATTGATCGGGGTCAGCTCGGGCTCTGCCTCTGTAGCTCTGGTGGGAATTTATCTAGAACATTATCGAGTAAACAAGCAACATCGATAAGATTTTTTTTTTTTTTT